GCTTGTTTTTTTCACATCTTTTCTCTAATGTCAATACGCCCCGGGCCCCTGGGTGGCAGAGGAGCGTTGTGGAGAATGGTTGTCGTGGGGTGTAGGGGAGGGAGGCATGGGCGTCGGTTATCTTGAGGTTATCTTGAGATGATTTTGTCTTTGTATATCCACAGTTATAGTAATTAATAATCTCCCTTGTTTATGCCTCTGATTTAATTATTTACCCTTGTGGCCATGTTTGAGTACTAAGTTAGGAGGATTGAAGTCGTGAAGGTCTAACGAAATTTACAAAATGTTCAGCAAACTATAGATGTGCAACACCAGCATGTTACTAAATATTTTGGAAGCAGGTACGTAATCACTGAATTGTTGCCCGTGTGTCGCCTGGGAGCGGATTAAGTGTTATGAGCGAGGCAGTTTACCTTGCAGGAAGTTGCAAAGATCCCACGTAAGTATTTAGCAACCGGCAGGGTGCCAATATGAGGCAAAGTGGGTGTTCTATCATTTAGTGGAGATTGGCTCTGCTGTACACACCTGTAATGAAACACAACACTGATGTATACAACTGGTCACCAACCAGATGTGACTTTACATGATGAGTTCGACACACCCTGGCCTCGTCAAGTCAAGCCTGGCCTCGGGCCGGGCTTGGGGAGTAGAAGAACTCCCAGAACCCCATGAACCAGGTATCAACCAGGTAACACTCCCCCCCCCATGACTTGCGAAGGACCCACACATCCCATAACACACTCCACAACAGTTGCCTAACTCCCAGGTACCTATTTATTACTAGGAAAACAGAGGTATCAGGTGAAAAAGAAAAGTACCCAAACATTTCCGACCTGTGCTGAAATCGAACCTGGGTCCTCTCGACTGTAAACCAACTGAGCAGACCATTTCACTACAGGACGCGTTAGCCGTGAGCTTCAACAGTGATCAGTAACTACTTTGTAATTTACATAAATGCTCGCAGAGAAGGAATAAACTCCTCGATGTTTTCAGATACAATTTTTCTTGAGGTTCAATACGGTAGATGACTGCAAGAAACTACCCGATGACTAGAGTTACTCTTGTATGCCAAGCAGTTGAGCTGGGCGGGCAGTTGCGGGTAGCGGAACTTGGTGGGTCGTGTGGGTACCCTGTGGACGGCAGGAGGCCAGGAAGTTGCTCGGAGGAGAAATGTTTTCGATTTGATTTGGAAGGGCCCTGGACACGGCCGTGAGAGGGGGGAGAAAAGAGGGGGAACATAAAGGAAGGGAGAAACAGAGAGCCATTTACGAGGTCACTGTAGCCCGGGCTACATGGACATTTCGTTCTGAGAATCTAAATCTAAAACAACAACAGAAAGAGAGAGGAGAAATGTTACATAATAAGAAATGTCGCTGGGACTCCTGCCAGCGTCATTAGTCTGGGGGATTGATTGGTACAGTGTGAGGAGGGAGGCACGCGATGGAGGGCCACCAGCTGTAGGAGTAGTGTTGTAGGCAGAGGCAGTGGAGGGCCACCAGCTGTAGGAGTAGTGTTGTAGGCAGAGGCAGTGGAGGGCCACCAGCTGTAGGAGTAGTGTTGCAGGCAGTGGAGAGAACAAGGTAGCTGGAGAGACCATCACTAGAGACTGCCGACCAACTGTTGCTGGTCATCAGTTAGAGTGGAGTGTTACTGGAGTGACCCCCATCCCTCCTGGACCAGGCGCGAGGCAGCTAGAGGCCTGTTGAGAGAGAGAGAGCACAGCTTTGTCATAATAGAAACAGATTTTGCATGAAACCCCGCTCGGAGTGCCACGCCATGCGTAGAAAATTTTCACTTTACGTATATAAAAAAAAATCCTGAGAAGAAAATGCTTGCTCGAAATACTCCTCGGGTATTTTAAAGTTGTGTTTGCTGGGGAGAGAGGACCGGAGACCTTGTGCTGGTGGAGATCATGCCTCCGGTGTTGGAGATCATGCCTCCGGTGTTGGAGATCATGACTCCGGTGTTGGAGATCATGCCTCCGGTGTTGGAGATCATGCCTCCGGTGTTGGAGATCATGCCTCCGGTGTTGGAGATCATGCCTCCGGTGGTGGAGATCATGCCTCCGGTGGTGGAGATCATGCCTCCGGTGTTGGAGATCATGCCTCCGGTGTTGGAGATCATGCCTCCAGTGTTGGAGATCATGCCTCCAGTGTTGGAGATCATGCCTCCGGTGTTGGAGATTATGCCTCCGGTGGTGGAGATCATGCCTCCGGTGGTGGAGATCATGCCTCCGGTGTTGGTGGTCACACACATGTACCGAATGTACATCTACACCCGGTTACATGATGCTGTAAACACCCAGTAAGGTAAATGAGAACTTTAAACATAGTACAGGGTACAAAGCACAATCAAATGTGCCCATAGTAGGAAAGCAACATGTCAAGGATTTGGGAATAATGATGTCTGACGACCTAACGTTTAGGGAGCAAAACCAAGCAAATATTGTGTCAGCCAGAAAAATGATAGAATGGATTACGAGAACTTTCAAATCCAGGGATCCCATCACAATGGTTGTACTCTTCAAATCACTTGTCCTGTCCCGTCTTGGGTACTGCTCAGTACTCATTTCGCCCTTCAGAGCAGGAGAGATTGCTGAAACAGAGGGAATACAGAGAACATATGCGGCATACATAGACGCAATAAAGTACCTAAATTATTGGGATCGTCTCAAAGCTCTCCAAATGTACTCATTAGAAAGAAGACGAGAGAGAGATATAAAATAATATACACGTGGAAAATTACTGGAGGGCCAGGTCCCAAATCTACACAGTAAAATAACAACATACTGGAGTGAACGATATGGAAGAAAATGCAGAATAGAACCAGTGAAGAGCAGGGTGCCATAGACACAATCAGAGAACACTGTATAAACATCAGAGGTCCGTGGTTGTTCAACGTCATCCCAGCGAGTATAAAAAATATTGCCGAAACAACCGTGGACATCTTCAAGAGAAAACAAGATTGTTTTCTTCAAAAAGTGCCGGACCAACCGGGCTGTGGTGGGTATGTGGGCCTGCGGGTCGCTCCAAGCAACAGCCTGTTGGATCAAGTTCTCTCACGTCGAGGCCAGTCTTGGGGAGTAGAAGAACTCCCAGAACCCCATCAACCAGGTGTCACATTCATGAAGATTTAATTTGGATCATTGATCCTCAATGTATTCAGGGGTTTTGGCTTCTCGTGACCCCACGAGAAGCCAAATAAAAGAAATAGCTGCAGTAAAAGTTAAAACAAGAGAAGCATATAGCCGAAAAAGGTAAATACACAGCCAGAAAAACGACCCCAGCATCGCCACAGTTTACCAGAGTGTCCCCCGGGTGTATCCCAGTCGTCCGTCTCCGTGACGCTCCGGTACTCCACCACAAGAGATTTCTTTCTCTGGGCTCAGCAACATAATTTTTCCCTTCATATGTGCAGTTAGGTAGAGTGCCCGTCAGTTGCCTCGCTGCCGGCAGTGCCCAGCAGTGATTGTGTGCCCGGGAGGTCTAAAAATGGATTTGACAGAGCTTTTAACGTAATTACGTTTAGCTCCTGGAAATTTTATGGCGTTTGGAATGGTGATTTGCCTGTGTGGAAGTGCTGGAGGAGACGAGCCTCTGAGGGCGTATTTTAAGTACCTCGATAAAAGATATGTGCGTGGGAGGCAGAGAGGATATGGCTCGTCTTCCTAAACTGCATTTAGAATCCTGTTCTTTAAGTGCCACGGATTGGCGTCAGATGTTCGCGTTAATGTCACGTCCTGTTGACAACTGAGCCTCAGTGTAGCACGTGTGTGTACTGATGCGTGCAGGTGTTGGTGTGTGCCAACTGCGTGCAGCAGCAACAACGTCAAGCGTTGCCTACCTGTAAGTTTGAGTAAATTTAGTATAACTGGTCATTGGAGAATTAGGTGTATCCGGATGTTTTAGTACTGGACATTACACCAAGTGGTGCTTCGTGTAACTTGTTTCAGTAAAAGTATCAGTGAAAGTAGAATGCAACCGCGAAGATACACACGAACATTTTATTTCATATTAATACATTCAGTTGCGTGTCATTTATAATTGAAACTTGTTTTAATTGCCCCGAGTTGATAACATATACCCGGAGTAGCTGACATGTTCACCCTGGCTATAGTCTACTAGAAAATTCTTCGAACAGAAAATAATTACGCGAATGTCGCCAGAAGCGGCATAATTATACGGATGGGGAAACTATAACGTGTTTATCCGGTGGCGCCTGGCTTAATGGGAGTGGTTCACTTGCCACAATTCACAGAGTTTAGATTCGGAAAAACTTTTCCATGAAGAAGCACTCTGGTGTTTCAAGGCTCTCAAGGTGCTGGTGTTGCTCCAGTCATCTCCTCCCAACCCGTATGACCACAGCGCTAGTTACCAAGCCCAGCTAATTACCTAAGCCAATGTGACGATATATGACGAAGTGAATTAATAGTGCCAAACTGTTTGGACCATCGGGGGATCAATCGTCAACTCTGCAGAAGGCGAAGCCGTCCCTACAACGACTAGTGTATAAGTATATTCAACAATGTATTACCATGTTCGTCGGACGTAATTTTTAGCACCACGAATCTTGCAGGAAATTAACATTACCATTTCTATGTTTGTTTTACATCAACTCATTCTTCTGAAACATGGTGAAGCTGGAGGCATACCTGGAACATACCTGGAGAGAGTTTCGAGAGTTCTACTCACCATCACGGCCTGGGGGGTCCAGGCTCTCCTACGGGCGAGTTAGTTCTCCAGGAGACAGTTGAATTACTTCTCCGACGATCTCCGCGTCAAGAGGAAATGATGCAGTGCTTGCGAGGAGTGAGGGAAGTGTGATGGAGTGACGGTCTTGGTCAGCGTGAACCCGCTGCTCGCTGCTCGCTCATATTGTATTCATTGCCATATAATTTTCATTCATTGTAATTAGTTCATTGTCATTTATTTATTAATCGTCGTTTGTTTCCATTCATCCATTCACGTATTCATGTATTGTTATTTATTAATTTGATAATATCACGAGCTGTGGAGGTCGTTGTGCGGGTCGTGGTGCGGGTCGTGGTGCAGGTCGTAGAGGTCGTGGTGCGGGTCGTGGTGCTGGTCGTGGTGCGGGTCGTGGTGCAGGTCGTGGTGCAGGTCGTAGAGGTCGTGGTGCGGGTCGTGGTGCTGGTCGTGGTGCGGGTCGTGGTGCAGGTCGTAGAGGTCGTGGTGCGGGTCGTGGTGCTGGTCGTGGTGCGGGTCGTGGTGCAGGTCGTAGAGGTCGTGGTGCAGGTCGTAGAGGTCGTGGTGCGGGTCGTGGTGCTGGTCGTGGTGCGGGTCGTGGTGCAGGTCGTGGTGCAGGTCGCCCAGCTGGCTGACCCTCCCGGCCGGTAACTCGCCAAATATACACCAGGGAGCCCAATCTGCTCCAATCACCCTCCTAAATTAGTCTTCCTGCTGCTGTTGGTGTTGGTAGTGTGTTTATCTAATCTTTATCCAGTTGGTGGTGGTGGTGGTTAGTGGTGATGGTGGTTAGTGGTGGTGGTGGTTAGTGGTGATGGTGGTTTGGTAGTGGTGGTGATGCTGGTGTCGCAGTTCCGTTGCTGTTAGTGGGGAATGGTGGTGTTAGGGGGCCCTTAAACTGCCAAGATCTGCTCTCTCTCTCCTATTGATGCTCGCGGCTTAATGATGGTGCTGGTAGTCCACCTGCTCTCGTGGCACTGGTGCTTGTGTGGTGGCACTGGTGCTTGTTGTGTGGTGGCACTGGTGCGTGTTGTGTGGTGGCACTGGTGCTTGTTGTGTGGTGGCACTGGTGCTTGTTGTGTGGTGGCACTGGTGCTTGTTATGTGGTGATACTGGTGCTTGTTGTGTGGTGGCACTGGTGCTTGTTATGTGGTGGCACTGGTGCTTGTTGTGCGGTGGCACTGGTGCTTGTTATGTGGTGGCACTGGTGCTTGTTGTGTGGTGGCACTGGTGCTTGTTGTGTGGTGGCACTGGTGCTTGTTGTGTGGTGGCACTGGTGCTTGTTGTGTGGTGGCACTGGTGCTTGTTGTGTGGTGGCACTGGTGCGTGTTGTGTGGTGGCACTGGTGCTTGTTATGTGGTGGCACTGGTGCTTGTGTGGTGGCACTGGTGCTTATGTGGTGGCACTGGTGCTTGTTGTGTGGTGGCACTGGTGCTTGTTGTGTGGTGGCACTGGTGCTTGTTGTGTGGTGGCACTGGTGCTTGTTGTGGTGGCACTGGTGCTTGTGTGGTGGCACTGGTGCTTGTTATGTGGTGGCACTGGTGCTTGTTGTGTGGTGGCACTGGTGCTTGTTGTGTGGTGGCACTGGTGCTTGTTGTGTGGTGGCACTGGTGCTTGTTGTGTGGTGGCACTGGTGCTTGTTATGTGGTGGCACTGGTGCTTGTTATGTGGTGGCACTGGTGCTTGTTATGTGGTGGCACTGGTGGGTGTTATGTGGTGGCACTGGTGCTTGTTATGTGGTGGCACTGGTGCTTGTTGTGTGGTGGCACTGGTGCTTGTTATGTGGTGGCACTGGTGCTTGTTGTGTGGTGGTACTGGTGCTTGTTATGTGGTGGCACTGGTGCTTGTTGTGTGGTGGCACTGGTGCTTGTTGTGTGGTGGCACTGGTGCTTGTGTGGTGGCACTGGTGCTTGTTATGTGGTGGCACTGGTGCTTGTTGTGTGGTGGCACTGGTGCTTGTTGTGTGGTGGCACTGGTGCTTGTTATGTGGTGGCACTGGTGCTTGTTATGTGGTGGCACTGGTGCTTGTGTGGTGGCACTGGTGCTTGTTATGTGGTGGCACTGGTGCTTGTTATGTGGTGGCACTGGTGCTTATGTGGTGGCACTGGTGCTTGTTATGTGGTGGCACTGGTGCTTGTTGTGTGGTGGTACTGGTGCTTGTTATGTGGTGGCACTGGTGCTTGTTGTGTGGTGGCACTGGTGCTTGTTGTGTGGTGGCACTGGTGCTTGTTGTGTGGTGGTACTGGTGGGTGTTATGTGGTGATACTGGTGGGTGTTATGTGGTGGCACTGGTGCTTGTTATGTGGTGGCACTGGTGGGTGTTATGTGGTGGCACTGGTGCTTGTTGTGTGGTGGCACTGGTGGGTGTTATGTGGTGGCACTGGTGCTTGTTGTGTGGTGGCACTGGTGCTTGTTATGTGGTGGCACTGGTGCTTGTTATGTGGTGATACTGGTGGGTGTTATGTGGTGGCACTGGTGCTTGTTATGTGGTGGCACTGGTGGGTGTTATGTGGTGGCACTGGTGCTTGTTATGTGGTGGCACTGGTGCTTGTTGTGTGGTGATACTGGTGGGTGTTATGTGGTGGCACTGGTGCGTGTTGTGTGGTGGCACTGGTGCGTGTTGTGTGGTGGCACTGGTGCGTGTTGTGTGGTGGCACTGGTGCGTGTTGTGTGGTGGCACTGGTGGGTGTTGTTGTCTTTTAATGTTGGAATTTAAGCCACGGGCAAGGTACTGGATCCGGCCAGGTGTTTGGCTTGACCCAGAGAGCACGACGAGTAGGTCGCTGTAGGACTGGCTCCCCTGGTCGTGGTGGTGGTGGTGGTAGTGGTGCCTCTGGTGCTACCTGGTTGAGTTGACCCCATGCTGACCCCCTGCTGCAAGCTGCAAGCAACAGCCTGGTGGACCAAGCTCTCACAAGTCAAGCCTGGCCTCGGGCTGGGTTTGGGGAGTAGAAGAACTCCCAGAACCCCATCAAGGACGTAAGTGCATCTTGATTTCCAGTCTTGAGTTAAGTATTTTAGTCCACCTGAGAGGTCCGGTTATGACTCGCATTGTCTTGTATTCAATAACCTCAAGTTTTGCTCCCTGCCTAAGAGAGAGAGAGCAAGCAAGGCAAGTGTTGTATCAATGTACATCTTGACTTTAGGCTTTTCTCCAGGTTTTGCCTGTCTGGTAAGGAATCTTGGCAACCCTCTTGAATTATACGCTAGTATAATTGCATAATTTCGCATTCATTAGTGCTTGTTTGCATGTAATTTATGCTTAGTTTCATATTCCCGTTGACTATTATGGAGGTGTTTGCGCGTGTCTCTTAAAACTGCCTGAAATATTTGTCCTCCCGCTTCACTAACTCGCTGGCATAACTGAATCTTTTTAACTCTATATAAATAGCAAATTCCCGTGTATGAGTTAGGCCGCCCGGGGGATGAGGTCCAAGCTCTAATTCATGACGGCACTCGACCAGGCACGCTTAGGCCTGGCTGGGACTTGTTGCACTCCGCATTCCTCTACCTGACGTTACCTTACCTTGAGGTTACCTTGAGGTGTTTTCGAAACTTAGCGTCCTCCTCGTTGCTGGATTGGTCAACTAGGCTGTTGGACGCGGCTGCTCGCAGCCTGACGTATGAGTCACAGCCTCGTTGATCAGGTATCATTTGGAGGTGCTTATCCAGGTCTCTTTTGAATACTGCGAGGAGTCGGCCAGTAATGCCGCTTATGTGTAGTGGAAGCGTCTTGTCTCGGGCCTCTGACACACACACACACACACACACATATATATATATATATATATATATATATATATATATATATATATATATATATATATATATATATATATATATATATATATATATATATATATATATATATATATGATCATATATACGGATAATATATAGAACACCTATTTCATATTTCTATGGATTTCCGCATATATATATATATATATATATATATATATATATATATATATATATATATATATATATATATATATATATATATATATATTGGTGTTAATTATACAAATAAGTGTAATACACTCTATAGTAAATCACTTCTTTTCTTCACCTTAAAAGTACGAAAATGAGTTTTGGAGAACTCCTATTTCAATTAAGCCCTGATGCTAAGAAAATAGTTAGAGGGATAGAAGCCCTAAACCAGAAAATAATTAATACAGAATATGCGGTCATATTCAATGAAACATATATATATATATATATATATATATATATATATATATATATATATATATATATATATATATATATATATATATATATATATATATATATATATATATATATATATATATATATATATATATATATATATATGTTTCATTGAATATGACCGCATATTCTGTATTAATTATTTTCTGGTTTAGGGCTTCTATCCCTCTATAAGAACATAAGAACATAAGAACAAAGGTAACTGCAGAAGGCCTATTGGCCCATACGAGGCAGCTCCTATTCTATAACCACCCAATCCCACTCATATACTTGTCCAACCCGTGCTTGAAACAATCGAGGGACCCCACCTCCACAATGTTACGCGGCAATTGGTTCCACAAATCAACAACCCTGTTACTGAACCAGTATTTACCCAAGTCTTTCCTAAATCTAAACTTATCCAATTTATATCCATTGTTTCGTGTTCTGTCCTGTGTTGATACTTTTAATACCCTATTAATATCCCCCCGGTTATGTCCATTCATCCACTTGTAAACCTCTATCATGTCACCCCTAACTCTTCGCCTTTCCAGTGAATGCAACTTAAGCTTTGTTAATCTTTCTTCATATGAAAGATTTCTAATTTGGGGAATTAACTTAGTCATCCTACGCTGGACACGTTCAAGTGAATTTATATCCATTCTATAATATGGCGACCAAAACTGAACTGCATAATCTAAATGGGGCCTAACTAGAGCAAGATATAGCTTGAGAACCACACCAGGTGTCTTGTTACTAACGCTGCGATTAATAAATCCAAGTGTCCGATTTGCCTTATTACGAACATTTATGCATTGATCCTTTTGTTTTAAATTCTTACTAATCATAACTCCCAGATCCCTTTCGCAATCCGACTTCGCAATCACAACACCATCTAGCTCGTATCTTGTAACTCTATCATCATTACCTAACCTCAGAACTTTACATTTATCAGCATTAAACTGCATCTGCCAATCCTTTGACCATTTCAAAACCCTATCTAGATCAACTTGAAGTGATAGTGAGTCCTCCTCCGAATTAATTTCCCTACCGATTTTCGTATCATCGGCAAATTTGCAAATGTTGCTACTCAAACCTGAATCTAAATCATTTATATATATTATAAACAACAGAGGTCCCAGGACAGAGCCTTGAGGCACTCCACTTACAACATTTTCCCACTCTGACTTGATTCCATTTATACTAACTCTCTGTTTCCTTTGGTATAGCCATGCCCTAATCCAGCTTAATATAGCACCCCCAATACCATGAGACTCTATTTTTTTAATCAGTCTTTCATGTGGCACTGTATCAAAAGCTTTGCTAAAGTCAAGGTATACAACATCGCAATCCTTACCACTATCAACTGCCTCAACAATGCTAGAATAAAAAGATAACAAATTTGTTAAACATGAACGGCCATTTATAAAACCATGTTG